ATAATGTACATACATAGTTCATAATTTCACTGATCCGTTGTCTGATACAGACCAGATATAGAACTTGTCATAAAAAGACAAGACATTATACTATTGAATCACATTTTATTGCAATAAATTTGTAACACTACAATTCCTCATTTTTTAAAATTCATATTGTGAAGTTACTACTATCATTAGTGATCAAGTTTTTGTATACAGTTTATATTGTGAGTTTCTAAGTATGTTTATTGTGTTTTATGCACTTCTGCTGCTAATGTTGTCTGTAGGAATGTTGACGTCTATGGGCCAAAAACTCTGTTGATGAAACATATTGTGACATGTTGTGCAACGGAGGACCCCTACCTCCCCAGCGGCATGTGGCGGTAATGTAGCACTCTCGTTACTATGGTAATAGGCGAGTCATCACCCCGCCACTCTCCCCATGGTGATGTAATGCACAACGCACAGCGATGTGCCGAGCGGAGCCGAAGTGAGCCGAGTCCCAGCACACTGGTCGCTAGGCAACGCGGATAAACAGTGGTTGCGACAGACGACGGTAGCAACAGTGATGCCCACCACGTGGTTGTTTTCTCGTTGCACTGCTGAGGGTTTATAAGGGAGCTACACAGCCGCCGACGACAGTTCTCAGTTCGCAAGTTACAAGTTACAGACGCGTGTGCAAGAATCAGTGATAGTTCGTGATAACCGGTTATATTTGGAGTGTGTAATTCAGCGAGACTTGTATAGCTCCCGCACTATTAATACGTGAAGACTCTTGAAGATAGTGTTATGAGATTTTATTGTAGGGTTTGTAAAGTGTGGAAACCCGTAACATTGTTATCATTAATTGTAGCCGATACTTGTAGATTGTTAAATAAACCAATTAACCATCTCTACGGCGTCTTCAGTAACGAAACACGTTACAATATCTTGTACTGAACTAATTAAACTATTATTATTATTAGTTACTATAGGATTCTGATGATGGTGCATAACACACTGATATATTGAGTTTTTGGACTTTATCCATGGATAAAGTCCAAAAACCCAATATATCAGTGATTATTATTATTATTATTTTCACACACATGTTAATTACATATTTTCTTAATGCATAAAGCTTTTAGGCCTTATTCGCTCCATTACCTACAGGGTTTCCTCCCTGGAGAGTCTGTATGTACAATATTTTACTTTAGTCAGGTCCAAGTTGGAATCTGCCTCAGTAGTTTGGAACTCCATCACCTCGACAGATGCCAATAAGCTTGAGCGCATCCAGCAGAAGTTTGCGTCCTCTGTTTTTAACATTTTGCCCCTCATACTTCATATCATTATGCTGATGCTATAGAGAAATTATGTCTACAATCTTTACATAAATGGAGACATCACCTTGATGCACTTTTTCTTGTTCAGGTCTTTCGTGGTCTTAAATCCTGCGCTTCTCTTTTGGAAAATGTTAGCCTTCATGTTCCTCCCAGCAGTCTTAGGGACTTCTCATCATTTGGTGTTTGTCCCTCTAATAAACACTGTCCTTCTGCTCAGTGTGCCTATGCTGCCAATGTGGTGGGTAAAGATCTCGACATATTTGCAATTGGAACAGTTCTGTCAATCATATTTCGCATATAAATGAACAGAAAGTTGGAATCAATTAATATATTGTAACGTGTTTACGTTACTGAATACGCCGTAGAGATCGTTAACTGGTTTATTGAACAATCTACAACTAACGGCTATAATTAATGATCACAATATTACGGGTTTCCACACTTTACAAACCCTACAACAAAGTCTCTTAACACGATCTTCACTTGTCTTCACGTACTAATAACGTGGGAGCTATACAAGTCTCCCTGAAATACACACTCCGAGTACAACTGTACTACAGCACTCACTATGTCTTGAAAGCACACAATACGTCTTCCGCTCGCTGACTTCTTAGTTATCGCTCACTCGCAGGCTGCTATGTTTCAACTG